AGACAGACAGACACACACACACAATATCGCAAAACAGGCTAAAACCGCTTGTGGTTCCGGGTCTCCGACCGCGGCAGGCTCGGGTGTGAGCACAAGGCCCCTGCTCCATTGCGCTGACAAGCTCTCGGCTGGCTCGGTGTTGTGTTAACGTGTCACTGCTAGGCTCACAGACCGATACTTCGATATCTTCGATATGGTATCTTTAGGTACATCTTGAGTCTGAGTTCGCGGTGGTTCTAGGCTGAGGTTACCAGTATATAACCCTCCGACTCGTTTGAGGGCTGCACATGCGAAGCGGCGAGGTTAGCAAGAACATTTGTCGTCCGAGTCCGTTTCCTTTGGAACACAGCAAATTGCTAGCAGCTTGGGACGGGAGACAGGAGGGGACCCAAAGATCGGTGAGCAAGGGCAGGTGGAGCTCTGGAAGCGAAGCCTCGGTTCGGGCAAGCAGAAGGCCGTGCTGTCGTTGCTCCGAGGGCATCCGAGGGCTCATCCAAAGAGTTCTCGTAGAGGAAAGCTTTCGTAAGCACGGGGTTCCACCTGGCTCCGCAGTGTCCGCACAGCACTGCAGAGACAGCTGAGGCCACTCGGAGATTGCAGCATCCAGCTCCGTGAGCTTGTTTCGTCCGAGGTCCAGCTGGGTCAAGGATGGCCTCGTCACCAACGCATAGGCATAGCACGACGATAAGGGCAACCCTGCTCTGAGTCTTCGGCAACTCTTGCAAAAAGGCGGCGGACTGCAAGGAGTTTCTGTACAGAACAAGCCTCAGCAGGGCGCATTGCAAGCAAACTGGATCGCCACGGCTGCCGCCGAAGCAAACTGCATCTCTGCGCCAGGCTTGCCAAGGCCTTTTGCTGAGAGATGCACCTCGGGCGACATTGTATAGCCACACCACACCACGCCGGTGTGACTCGACTCGCAGACAGGGATCCGGGCGGAGGTCAACCGATTCTTGCTAAGGTCCACCACCTGGAATGAACAGCATGGAGACTTCGACTGTCTTGCTTTATGTGTTTGGGACGCCAGCACGAAGCTGTGGCAGCTGTGCCAAATCCTCCATGGCAGGAGCTTTTTGCCCACAGTGCACTGCCAGCTCTCATGCCTCTGCGTCAGTGATGGCGTTCATTGTCGCCTTGAGGACCTCATGTGCGTCTCTGCATATTGTAAGGCTGCAAAGCAGAAGCCAGTACGAGGGACTTTTCAGCGTATCCTGGCACCTGGGGCCAGAGCTGAAAGGTGCCTCAGATGCCGCAACCTTGGAACACACAGGCCAGTCATGCGCTTCAGTTCACTCCATCCGACTCCAGGCCGTCGACCCATCCAAGCACGTCAGCGCATTTTGGCAGAGGACCAACTCCTTCTTTGCACAATTCTTCGATCGCACCTTCAACAACCAGGATCGTCCTCAAGCTTGGGACAGCCGTGCAAAGCCTCCTCGACAGACAAGGCACTTCTCCTCATGAGGCCACAGCAGCCCAGGGCCCGGACCAGGCTTGAGATCTTGTTGCCGCTCAGCACCAAGATCTCGCAACAGATTTCACTCGGACTCAACCTTTTTTGCAACTCCTCGCTGGGTTTGGGGCACGCAGTTGAGGCACTCTGGAAAGCATGGGAAGCTGCTCCAGGCCTTGAACAACGAGGATGGAACAAACAGAAACGTTACGGCAATCGGCCCGCTTGCCCTGACCGCCAAGCCTTCCATTCGAATCTCCAGGCGCACCAAATCAACAGCCTGGTATGGGAGAGGCTACTTGACTTTGTTCCGTGGAGTCAGCGTGGCTTCTGGGGCACGAGCAGAGCCCCAATCCTCGAGGCCTGACAGCCAGGCTTTGCAAACACTTTGGACGTGGAGCTGTACGAAGCTGGTTATCGCCGCCACAACCACGTCTATCAGAACAACCATGTGCCATGAGTCAAAGACGCATCTGTGTGCCACATCCCTGAAGGTTTAACTAGAGATGACCATAGCGGCAACGCGACCGCCTGCGGCCAAGCCATCCAAGCCGAGGTCTTCTGAAGACAGCGCAACAGAGCCCCGCTCCGGGCGATCATCGTCTGGACGACCTGATTGGACTCCGTCAGCGTCCGGTTGCCACTGCCACTCTCGCAGGAAGTCTCAGAGATATGTTCTTTTTGCTGGGTGCTCGACTCCACTTCGCTGGGCGTCTGCGACTCAAACTTTTGCCTGGCGCATTCGTGGCGGCTGTGCACGCAGAGATTCAGACTCATGAGAAGCAACGACTTTTTGTGCTGCTCCGCCGCTGTACATGGATCGGCAATGGTCGGATCGATATCGACATGGATGGAGCAATCACAAAACATAAATTGCTTGGACTACTGCAACGAATGGCATACTGGCTTGAGGTAGATAGCGGTTGACTCACTCTCGTTTCGCCACGGAGAGGACCAGCACCTGGCAAGTGTGCACGTACCTGCCGAAGTACAGCTTGCCTACAAGACAACTGTGGCCAGCCTCTGTCGCCTCAAGGACTACTTGAACTTGCGCAGTAGGTAACAACCTCACGCTGCGAGCATTTCCCAGTCCCATCCCATCAGTGCCTTATTTGGAAAGCCCGCAGCCTGCATGCGGATGTGCTCCCTTCACGGAATGTCCTAGGACATCTGCGTCTGAATAGTTGCAGACCAAACAGCACCTGACTGTGGCTCCCAGCGATGTGCAGTTCCATCCAGGGAGGCGCTCAATGGCTTCCCTGCAGATCTCCAAGACATGGAACTTGAAAAAGGACCGGACATTTGTTGAGAGGCTGGCGATTTTGCGGTAGGCCGGAAGGCGCTTTTCACTAATTTGACAGTGAAGGTCTCACCCCTCTGGGCAAGCGGAAGCTCTAAGACCTGAGCTCAGCAAAGACATTGAAGCCTGGCATGGCCTGGGAGCCCGGCCTCGTTCAAGTTGAAGTGATTGCCTTCGGACGAGCTGCACTGGGCTCAAGCAACGGCTCTGATTCATCTTTCGAGGAGGCTAGGTCACCTGCTGGCTTGCGGAGCTCCTCGCAAGTTCGATGCTGTTCAGTCAACTCAAACTAAACGCATCATCCTGCCTGTCGGATTGTGGAAAAGCATGTGCCCACGCATGCTCACCACGTCCCACGAGGTCACGCAATAGACCTTGTACCTGGTGACGTCACCGAACGCCCAGTGACTGTCGCGCAGGACGGCTGCGTGTTGGCGAGACCACTTCAAAGCCTCAGCCAATATATCCCATGCCTCAGCAGTCATGTGGCGTGGTGCCACGTACAGCTCCTGCAGTTGCAGTCCCAGTGCCACGAAGGACCAGACTTCTTGAGTGAAATCGACGCTGTCGTATTTGTCCAGTCCCCAATGCAAGGCATCACCGTGAGAAGCGACGACAACCCCGTGGATCATGAGCTGGGACAGAGGGAAAAAGGTTGACCTGCGTGCGACCAACATGTAGACAACCATACTTCTCCACCGAATCCATCGCTGCCGACCAGTTAGGCCGTCCAAACCTATCTCGCTCAGTGATGGCAAGGTGAAGTGCCCTTTTTGGAAATGGTCCGGCGCCTTGACAGGGCCGTACCAATCTCGTGGCCTTGTGGCTATGTCAGGACCACCTCGCCAAATCGAGTCTGCCCAGAACAGGAAGAAGGGAGAAGGCCATGTGCCAGTGGTTAGATTAATCCAAACATCATCTTCATCTTTTTCGTCAGACTTATCCACCTTCTCGCTTCGCAAAGCCGCAATTGTCTGCAACATTGCCTCCATCTCCATACCTAGCTCCGTGGGATTGCCGGCCACACCATCAAATTTAAACATGTTAACGCCCTGCTCACGCCGAAAGCTCATGGCAGTTTCATGAAACGCCTTTCGGTACTTTCTCCCTGCGAGGCTGAAGGCTTCTGACTGGATATTGCGGTTGTAGTTTGTTTCGTAGCCTTGACGCTTGCCATATTTCACTCTTTCCTCCTGTGTGAAGCCATAGCCACCCCAAGGCGAAAGCCAAACACCTGTGCCAGCTCCATACTCCTTGGCCTTGCTGGCAACCTTCTCAAAGCATCGAGGAAATCGAGCTGTGTCGAATTCCCAGAGTGTTTGTGGATTGTCCCACCCATCATCCCACAAAAAAGAGTCCTGCAGCAATTCACTGTGCGAGTTGCACGAAGTGCAGCGCATGACACATCGCATCTGACTGAGCAGTCCAGTTTCGCGCCACGCTTTCGGACCACTTCCTCACCGAAGGCCTCGACCCTGTGCAAACAGCTGCCTGCATGACAGGTGGTGCAGATTCAGATGGACTGGCATGTTTACGGAGTGCGTAGCCCGTGGCTCGGGCAGTTGGTGGTTGCTTGAAACCTGACCCTGATTTCAACCCCTCCGCAGCCTTCACTCATCTTGTCCGGCCGTAGCGAAGCTATCAAAGTCTCATTGGGCCACGGATCCTGGAGAGAGAAGAGGGGCTTTCGTACCGCATGGTCGCAGAAAAGCCGCAGTCCTTGAAGCCACCATTGAAGCCCTCGTCCTGCAAAAGCATCCCTCATCCCGTATGCAAGGCCATGGCCTGCAGCTCCTGGTAACTGTAGAAATCGTACCAGCTGTTGTAATGGACCTCGCCGAACCGAAGGGACGCGCAGTTTCGTGTTGTGGGCTGCGAAATACACGCCCTTGGCATCCCGCCATTGGGCTTCGGCGGCCAGGCCGCTGTGAGTGCAGGTAGCCAAGGAAAGATCTTCGTGCCTGACGGCCATGGCGTCCGGAAACATGTGTCCGCATCCCTGCAAAAAGGGCGGTCCTGAGACATTTCGCTGAAACCACCGATGACAAAACCATAATCCCAGGGTGCCTGGCGTGACAGTCGCCACTAAGAGCAAAAGGCTGTTGGGGTCTGCAGTCTTCCGGATGGCTTGTGTGCCTCGCTTGTCGGCTTAGCCAAGCTCTTCAGGTGCTGCAGTTGCCCTGCGTAGAGGTCCGGCCTTCAGTGACTTCTCTGACCACGGAGCTGCGAACATTCAAGAACGTGCATGTGAGATAACTTTCAACTTCCGGCCGATGAACTTGGCCCAGTAACGAATCGCTGCCCCCGCGCGTGGTCACGACTCCCATGGGGTGCTCTACCTTGCCACAACAACATCTCACACGTACGTGGCTTGAGTGTCAGGCCCTGGCAGCCAAGAAGAAGCCTGAGCCAAGCAGATTGCAGCACGAGATTGTCGTCAAAGTCACGCAGCTGATGCCAAACTGGAGCTGAGATACGTTTGTTGACCACTACGGGCAACCCAAGCACCGCATCAAAGTCGTCCTGCGAGAGCTTCTCGAATGCGATACAAACGATGCCTCGGGCTTAACTCTCATGACTTCCACAACACATTTTCCGAGAGCTCTTGCCCCTCCGGAGTGGTTTCAGAAGGAGTCGTGTCCGGAAGAGTCGGTCGGCGCACTCCAAAGTGCCTGTTGCGCTTGGCTTACGACCCCCGGAGTCTCCTCTGAGACGACGCGGCCAAAGCTCCAACGTCACAAAATTTGTGGCTCAGGACCCTTCCTTGAGTCCCTCAGGTCAAAGGTGGTGCTGGGCCATCAAATTCGACTTCAAAGGCAGCCTTGCCTTCAGCTGACATGTGCAGTCTGCTGGCTGGTCTACGGAGTCGGTACGATACGTTAACACACTTGGGAAGTTCAAGGCGCTCCACACAGTCTATATAAATTATATAACTCATAATTATTTTCGCAGTGTGCCGAGAACTCGGAGCTCCAAGAAAAGCTATGCCGCCCGTTTGGGCAAACATGCTGTGTTGGACAAGGGAGACTAGAGCAGATTTTGAAAGGACATCTTCCCAAACATCCGCCCAGCATGTGCGTCTGCTGCGCTGCATGTATCTTTCGTGTGGAGGGTCAGATGACCATGAGGCAGCACATGCATCAAGGGAGTTCCAGGAGACCGTCGGTGCTGTCAGACTTCGGAACCGTCTTGTTCACTACCTACCACGCTCAAGCTCAGCATTATAGCCAGAGAATCATCGTCAGCGGGTCGCTGTCGGGCTGCTGCGACTTGATGGCAAGCGTGTGCTGCCAGCAGTGCTCCCAGCCTGAACGTAAATCAAAACAATCGTGCAGATGCGATCCGGCAAGCAATTAGACAAATGTGCGGAAACCCCAAACACATCAATACACGGGTTGTGCTTGCGGAGCGGCTGTGCGTGTGGGGCTCCAGGCTCGAAGCCTGTGCCCCCTGCATGCGCTACGCGGTCCGAGTCTGGGCTGCGTGGAGTCCCCGGGCTCCCACTCCGTCCCAGGCCCCCGTACCTATGAAAATCACTGGAGGCCTTGTAGCGGGGGCCCTATGTTGGGAAGGCGACACTGCGCTTCCCCGGGCGTTGTCGTCAACCATGACAAATTAAATAACACGGCAAAGCCCGTGAGGCTAAACAAGGCAGTTCCAATACTCCTGTCGTTTACAACAACCCGTCCCCTGACACGGCTTCCAGCTGTGGGGGGCAGGCAATGGGCTGAGGTAACACACACAGCCAAAGGAAAGGCGGACAGCCGGACAGCCCCTCCCCGCGTGTGCGCGCGCCCTGGTCTCCAAGGGTCTCAGTGTCATACTCTCGATGAGGCCGCGGCTTTCAGAACACTGGTATCCCCCCTAACGAACTCTAGCAAACACCCTCCGGGCCTCATCACACTGGCCAAAACATGCTTTGTACTCGCAGCTCATCTGACTAGTTCAACTCTCGGGCTTCGGGTACCCTGACCCCCGCAGTCAGGACAAACAAGTGACAACATGCACAACTATAACTACACTCGAAAGACAAGGCTGCACGTCGCCGTCTGTCTCTTCTTCCACGCAGTCAAGAGCACGGCAGTCACTGTGTCTCTCTCTCTCTGTGTCTCGCTGTTTTCTCTCATAATCTCAGATTGCAAGCTGCATGGGTACTGATTGTGATATATTGCGCTTGCTGACGAGCAGCCCGAATGGCTTCACACTTCTCTCGGCCCAGGCCAGGTCCTGGAGTTTTTCGACTGCCGAAGCAAGCTGTGCGACTCGCTGTGCGGAACCGGTGTATACGTACTTTGGTGGATTGGACCTGGACTCGCTCGCGGCCACTTTGCTCTGAGCTGCCGAAGCTTCAATGAAACTTCCTGCTCGGCAAGCTTCCATGCAGTTGCGTGCACAAGCATGGAGACGCGAGCCTCCAAAACATGTCTGCGAGATTCACACGAACTTTCTGAGAGTATGAAGACCTCGCAGCAGGCGCAAGGCCTGACTTGGACATGGCTATGCGGCTACACGTTCCAGGCCTCGCCGGCTGCCTGGACGGCAAAAGGTGTCCTCCCAGCCCTAACTTCCCTGGACTTTTACTTACCCAGCGACACTTCCTTAGGCTGCAGTCCCACACTCACTCACTGTCCTGCCCGGAGACATGTTGACTTGATGTGCCGGTGTCAAGTTCTGAAGGACCTCATGACAAGACGCTGTGACCTGGCTGCCGGAAAACGGCCCCCATGCTGCCGCTTGAGCCAAGGAACCTTCCCCAGGTGCAGGGCCTCCTCTGGACAAGACCGACTCCTGAGCACCGAGAATTTGACGCTGAGAGTACTTTCAGCACATGTTCGTGATTCTGACAAGTTTCTCGATCGGCAGTGTGAGCTTCTTCCGAGTTTCTCCCTCACCTGGGCAGGAGCGCTACGTGGAAGTGTTGAGGTAACCTTCTCGGCCATAGAGCTACGTATGCATCCGCGCTGCGGGCAAGCAGGACAGGGATGCTCTCGTTGACTGGCCCGAGGGCCTTCTGCGAATGCACTGACGCCATGCCTGCCTCCGCAGCAAGAAAACCAATCGCTGCGTTGCATTGCGCCCTCGTACCGTTGTGAATTAGCCAAACTCTTCGGCCGCGACACTTTGCTCGTGCCCACTGGGCCGTGCGGCTTCAGCTCCATACATTCGCAAGCGCCCATGGCTTGCGAGTACTTGGGATGTGTTGCCGTGTTGCCCGTTTGACACATGACTTAACAGCGACCGCTCCTGCTGCTGATTCCCACGTTGAGAAATTGAAGGTGATTGCCACGATGTATTGGAATCATGACTATATCACTTGGTTGCAACACAAAAGCGATGCACACATGTTGGCACTTGCAATCTGCTCTTCTTGCCGCAGTCTCTGTCCTCTCCAAAGTCTGGAAGCTTCGTCTCAGTCAAGTTGAGAGGGCCCTGCAGCCTCCAAAGCTCCAGCCTGGACTGCACATCAAAAAGGCTCCACAATCAAACAAATTTGCCCTTGTGGCCACATATGCCGTGGGCCGTCGCTATGCCCACCAAGTTTGTAGCTGCAAAGATCTCGGTCGTCAGCTGTCGGTAGCCAGCTGGAGGCCAGCTCGATGCCGAAGGCGATTGCCAAAGCCTGACCTGCTCTTGTCGGCTCTGCTCTCCAGCTGAACCTGGTTATCGGCGAGTTCGCCGGGCCTTGAAGCGAACGAAGTGCGAATCCTGCAGGAGGACGTGTCAAAACAGTCTAGGCAGAAAGTAAGACCCGACAAGTGACAGAACTTGCCGCAGGCTTCGCTGAGGAAATGAACTATTTGGGCAATCGTCTGGATTGGGAATCCTCGTTGGGAAGCCAGGCGGAGAAAGAAGCGAGCAGGCCATTGCTGCAGCCTGCACAGTGGAAGCCAGCTCTGCCAAGGCCCACTTGCATGGAAAGTCTTCAACCCGCTTGGGTTAGCTTGTGCAACTGAAGGCCACACTCAGGTTGAAGGCTAGCTCGAGCTTCAAGGCGTCTTGGCTCACTGCCTCGCAGAAAACTTGGAACGCTCCAAACAGCAAAGCCCATCACATTCTGGCTCAAGTCAAGGCCTGCAGGCCGCAGTCTAAGTCCTGACCAGAGCCCAGAGGAGCCTAAAGGCATGGCTTTCGACCCTGAACAAAGCTCCTGACTTGAGGGCAGCAGGTGGAAGAGAGGAGATGCTCTCACCTCACATGTAACGCCCTTGCGCGATGCCTCCGGCTTCTACATGCATCCATGCCCTTCCTGCCGACCTTTCTATTTGCACCAGACACAGCGACACGTAAGAGTCGGGCCGGCAAGCTTGCAGCTTGGCTTTCAGTGTCGCCGAAGACGTCAAAAGCGTACCATTGCAACTTTGGCCTCAAAAGAGCAAGAACACCAAACATGCCTGACATAGTATTGAGCACAAGCCACTTGTCAGTAAAGGCTGCGCGAACACGATTGCTCCGCACCTGCATCTCAGCAGTTCGGCCCTTGAGCATTTTCCAAAATGAGAAATGCATGTGCCTCCCAGCAGCAAGTTCCATCCACGTGACCCGAATCTAAGTCGCGAGACTTGCATGCTGATGGAACTCCTGCGCTGCCCTGTGCGCGACTGGGAAGCCTGCCGCACTTGCCGCAAGGATGTGCTGCACCAGGAGCCAGCGTTGTCCCACTTGGTGGCCGTGTCCCACTTGGTGGCAAAGTGGCCCTTCCAAAACCACGCCGAGTCAGCTGGAGCAAAATGAAGGAGAAAGCTTTACATGTTGAGCTGTTGAACCTTACTCCGATGCTAGTCCAGAGTCACATAACTTGACCCCATCACGGCCCGACGCCTGTCATGACGCAGCAGTTGCCTCACTTTTGAGCCCACAACCTCCAGAACAAGGGAACACGCATGGCGAATTCGGTTTGGAGATTCGGCCCCGTCGAACTGTGGCAGATTCGTGCAATTGGGCCTTCGCGCCAGCCAGTATATTGCGTTCCCTGCTGCTTGCAGCCTGTGCCGGCAGGGATGCTTCTCGGTGCCCTGCTGCGATCGACCCCAGTCCTGCTGCGCCAGGAACAAATACCAAACTAGGACGGCCTTAGCACAGGTGGTTCATGCCATGCCCTGAAGTGGCTGAGCTGCTGTTGCGAACTTGCATCGAGGGTGAAACCCAGAGAGCCAGGACGAGGCAGATTGCTTTCCGAGTCAGGGAACCTCAGCCGACAGCAAAATCCGGTGGCCCTGGTCACGAGTCGCTAGGAATCAACCGACAGATCAGCCCGGGCACTCCAGACCATGATGATTCGATATCACCAGTGGCACGCAGCGGGCCATCATCAAAACGTTCAATAACTTTTGCTGCATGTTGTATGCTTACATTCGCTGTTCAGCCGTTATCGACTGCTCAAACTCATCCTGCCGTTGTGATGGGCCACGAAAGATCTACCAGTAGATTCATTGGCCTCGTGCTGTCAAACTTGTTGCCTGAATGGTCATGTCAACTTCGCCATGCAGGCTTGAGCAAGCACGCCAGTAAGCTCTTACTGGATCTGTCACAGAGCTTGCAAGGCAGTCGCCTGAGGAGCCTCTGAATCGCGAGTTGCCCTGGTAGCAGCTTCGCAAAAAAAGAAACAGAACAAACAACTGCAGCTTGCTTTGCAGAAAGCGAAGCTGCGCCTCCCAGAGCTGCAGGCACATCAAACTGCCACAGGTCTTGGCCTGGCGGATTCCGGTGTGGGCGACCTACGACTCAAAGAGCGGCGTTGAGCCTCCTTGGTCTTCACAGACCTGTCGCCCTTCGCCACGGATTCAGAAACATCACCTCGGTCAGCTGCTGCCGTCTTGCACCGATCAAGCGTACCCATGCTATGAGCTCTCTGCCGCATCTAGTCCCAACATGCCCAAAAAGGCTCAGCATTCTGCTGAAATCCCATGGGTCGAGCGTCCTCGTGACCATCTGCGGCCCGAAGCCTTCTCCGCAATCAGTTGCAGTCTGAAACTTAACAAGCTTTTCGTTGTCTGGCCTACTCGGCCCGCCTTCATACTGATCTTCTGGCTTCAAGCGTCCGGGCAACACCATCGTCGCCAACACCTGATGCCAAACCATTTTCGCGTCTCGTCTGGAGTATTCTGGAACAACCTCGACGCTACCTCTACACTATGATCGCAAATTTGCGTGCTTAGACTCCAACCGATAGGCCAGGAGCTGCAGTACGAGCAGCCTGCAAAGTATTCAGCAAACCAGAAAGGAATCGGACTTGGCCGAACGACGGGACACAATCGCGATCATTGCCCACAATACGGCTGAGCCAAACAAGTGCCCTGAGACGAGCACTGGCGAAGCAATGGGAAGGCGAATACCAAATTCATTAAGTGCGAACTGCCACTTGGCGCCTTGGCCGCAGCCTGCAATTCCTGTAAACGGCAAACGGAAATAAGGTTGAAGAAACGTGAAGCTCGATTGCCGCACCTGCTGATCGAAGCGAGGTACTGGCTTGGAATCGCTAAGTCGCAACCTCATCTCCGTGTCAGCCCTACCGATGTTCATGGATGTGTCCACATTCCTTCATTTAACCGACCCGGTACAGCGACCAGGGAAACCTACAGGGGCGAAGGAAAGGGCATCGACAACACTAAGGCCTGCACAACGACGAACGCTGATCTTCTGAAGCCATTTGCCTTGTTTCTGCTGCCTCTGGTGGATGAACCGGCACAAATTTCGAATCGCTGGGTGTAATGCAAAGGCACCTCTCGACGCATCTCCCTCCACGCGAAAGACTCGGCGTCTGCAGCAGCAAAGCCTCGACATCTGGCCGAAACAACTTGAACCAGGCACACCTTTGATGATGTTGGCAACAGGCCTTTATTCTCTGCCGCCAGTCGCAATGCTTCGCGCAAAGCTGCAGATGACATATCCTCCGAGGCCATGGATGCTGCTTCTCGCCTTTCATGATCTCTCCTGGGCAATGCTTCCCATCAACTGCTCTACGTGGACACGAACTTCAACACATCAGCCTCTTTTCACCGCCACATATGCCACATGTCCGGGACCTTCCCTCATGAAATACAAGTCCTGCCGTCCCACAAACATCGGCTTCCAGTCTGCAGATGTGCGAACGTGTGGCTTCCAAGGAGGGTGTTCCCTCAATATCCTCAGTATCCTGAACGCCGTTTGACGCTGCATGGAACTTCGGCGCCGGATCACAACCATCTGACGACCGCGAAAGCACTGCGACGGATGCATTCTGTGTCGACGGTGTAGTCAACGAAGCCAGCAAAATCAAGTTCGACAGTGTCGATGAAATCTCTGAAGCAGAAACTCCAAACGCCCTTCCAGCTGTTCAATCCTCCTTGCTTCCAGTCTCATTCCTCAGCAGGCAAACATTCACAAAAAGACACGAAGCCAAAGTCACTGCTGCGAGAGGGTGTTGGTACAATTACGTGTTATCTTGAGAGGGGCTGCAAAGCATTTGCAATATGGCGGCTGCGGCCAAGCAGCGGTCCCGTTCCTCTCCGAAGCGGCGGACTGCCCATTGATCATTTTCCTTCTCAGTTGAAAAATTGCCGCCTCGCCGAAACCGTTTGCCTGCAAATGCAAGTTTGTCTCGCTCATCTATGCCTACAATTGCCTAGACCATGTACCATCGCAAGCATAACAAAACGCTCATCGAGTTGATCGAAATACATCCTGCTTTGTACTGCTCCTTGCGTTCGGCGATGAGCTGTCTCAACTTGAAGATATCTTGCCTTGGACAGATGCGCTGCCCTGCCAGCACTGCAACTTCTTTCCACCTCTGTCGTCTGGAGCTGACATCTGCGCACAAGGACTTGCATCCCTAATGCAAACGTCACGCGATTTGACGAAGTTTTCAACCGATCGGCCAGGTAAACCAAGTGTCTCCAGCAAGGGACAGAAGCGAGCAGCCATGAATCGCCGAGAAATAAACACAGCTTGCAAGTTGCTCCGCAGGGAAGTTTTGCAGCAGCGCCAGGACGCCATTAAAGGGGCCGCCCTGCCCCCCCCCCTCCCCGCCTAAAAACAGCATTCAGTCAGCCCTGTAAACTCAGTACAAATCGGTGAACGATAGCAAAAATGCTGCAACTGTTGATGATGTGACTGCTGGCTTGAGACGAAACGAAATTTGCTGCGAAGCATGAACTTACTTCTGCCGAGAATCGCACAAACAGAAAAATTTCCAAGCTGGTCCGAGTATTTTGCATACCACCCAAACCCAGAACTCCTTCGTACCGCTGCTGCGAGAGCTTCTTCTGCTGCGAACCTTTGCCGCTCTGCGGCCTCTTTTCCCCGCTCTGCCTCAGCAGCGAGACTGGCGCCAGGTGTCCCAAGCTGTAACCATACTGATTGCACTGAGAACACCCATGTGGCACCTATGTGCCCTGTTGTCTAGGTGTGCTGCATCCTCCAGCATCTTGCGCTCTTCATCGCGCAAATGGTCTAGAAAACAGTTGAAGGCAGTGAGAAGGAAGGAATCGCGTTCTGATGGTATGACAACCTCGGGTTCCGGCGGCTATGTTTGTCTTCAGTGTGCATGTTGCGACGTTCTCGTCGCTGGGCGGAACCCTCTTCTCGGTAGAACCTTGGCAACAGCCCCCGAGCATGTCGGACATGACATGACTGAGTGGCTAAGCTCGCAACTCTCGGCAAAAAAGCTCCTGGGGCGGACTCACCAACAAGGTCTGCCAAGAGATTCAATCCGCACGATGAAACGACTGTACTGTAGTCAACCTCTGTCTGATTCAATGAACCATTAACGATTACAAGTCTTTGAGCACTCTGGCAGACTGGCAGCCTGCAATTCTGCATGACTCCAGAAGTCTGCACAAGCCTATGCAAAAAGGACAGGCATCTCACTACAGCTCGTCCATTTTGCCTCAGAAATGCAAGCAGGAGACGACACCCTACATGAAATCCTGAGAAAGCACTCCCTTAGGCACTGAGCGACACAGCACTGGCACCCTCACACCAATGTGACCCTTCGAACTCTGAGCCAGTGTCGAAATTCTTCATTCTTTTTTCGCGGCTTCGGTGGTGGTGGTTTCGACGGGCCTCCAGAATCGTTTCTCTTGTCTGTCCTTCCTGATCCATTGCCGTCCAACCTCGTTGTGCAGCATTGTGAGATGCCAGCAGCTGATCCAGCGTTCGCTGAATGCGCTTGGCCTCCTGAGTTCAGGCTTGCTTCTTCAACGAAGGTCCAACAGCAAACACTGAGACATGTCAAGCACCAGTTGCGATCCGGAGTCGTAATTAGCCTTGGGGCGATAGTATGCAAATGCCATCGTCAAGTCGCCATGTGGCAGTTGACCGGCCCTGCGTGTTGCAATGTCGCTTCTTTCTACTCAGCAAATCTAGCTACTCGGCGCTTTCTGTCAAGAGGAAAGCTCCTTCCATGTGCCAGCCTGGCTCCTTCCTGAGAACCCAGAGAGCAGGGAAACTCCCGTGAAGGCCACAGTAAAGAATCGCGGATAATGTGTGCATTCGAGGCGCGTAGATCAGAAGCTGACCTGAGGACAGAGGCCCAAAACTGGTGCACTTGAACATTCACGCAGCTTCTCGTGCCCGAACCTGGCTGAAGAGGCATTGGACGGTGCTTATGGCCCTGCGGGTCCCCGATCTGCAAGTGCCAGCTAGATCCTGCAAAAAGCACGATCGGCTGTGAGCAACTTGAAGCAGTGCCCGGTTTCGGCACCACAGGGTTTAGGTTAAGGCACCCTGTCAGGGCCTGCTCCGTTAGCCTCCAAAGGCATGGCCACTGTGATCGGAGTTTCTGGACCTTGCTCACACCGTATATGTGAATTCAAGCATACCAACAAGCGCATTCCGCTGAATATGACTGCCGAGTAGATGTGGCTTTGCATGAAACATTCTACCGATGTCCTGCTTGTTTCTGCTCTCTTCAAGAAGGAGTACGTCCCTCGGGCTCCTGCTGTCCACATGCTGCATGAGAGAAGCACCCTCCTGGATGGTGCAGGAAAGTGTGGCGCTGCTTCCTTACTCACAACCTCATCGCCTCGTAGATTCGCAGGCTGGCACCGACTCTGACAAGCTCCTTGGCAACGTTGCTGATTACTGCAAACCTTTCACATGATCCGAGGCAAACAGACACAGCACCCCGATTGAAAAGCCAAGCCCCTTCTCTCAGCACGCCGGAACACAACACTAGACTCCCAGCTTGCGCACTGCATTGCACTGCAGCGTCTTAGACGACCATTTCTGGTCCAGTAACTGGAAACCATTGTTGTATCCTTCCGCCAACGTTCCAGAAATCGAGACGGAAATGCCATTTGCGTTGACGATGTGGGTCATGTTTGCAATCTCATGCGGAAGCTTTCCACACTTGTCCCGATGCGAAACTGGTCTTGGTCCAACATCCTCCTGCTTTGTTGGCGCGGGATTGCTCGCAATAGGCAGCCCGTGTGGAGCAGTCATGTTACAAGTACCCAAGAGAGCCGGGCCTAAGACCCCCCCACTGCCAAGACCTGTGCTCTTGGTACAGTAGCTGTGTTTAGGGTGCTTGCTTTCGGTAAGCCACATGGGTCGTCCCATTCATGCTGGCGTCTGCCTGCTGGACTGACCGGAAATTGTGGAAACGACACTTCACGGCTTCGAAGTGAACGGCTCTACAATGGTGTGCAAATTACGTGAACATCTCGGACGCCTTGCAGCTCCGGCGACGGTCGACAATATCAAGATTCCCAGCGAGACTCACCACCCTGACACCATAAATGCCCCACGCTTGTCGCTTGTGCACAGACCTAGCCCTGAATGGTAGCTTCTGCGGTTGACCCCCGACATGCGAGCTGACGCCTGATATAGAATCATAGGGAGGGTGTCTGTCAAGTGAGCAGTGCCCATGGCACCATACAAAGCTTATGTAACACAAAGGCCAAAGGCAAACCTGTGCTACATGCTCACGCAGTGCTGGTGCTGTGATGCTTTGACTGCCTGCCATTTCCTGCTATGCAAACTGAAGGTGTTAGCACAAAGTCTTTTATCCAAATCAGGTTGATAAGTTCCCGGCCATTTTTCTGCCTGAGGCTTTTTCCACAATAGGACGCAGAAGGTTGTCGATGAAGCCGCCCTGGCCATGAAACTCCGAGAAGCTAGATTCGGCGGAGATGATGCCCCGCCTTTTTCGCCCACTCGGGAAGCAGCGGCAGTGCCTTCCTCGAGCACATGCACACGGGCGTGTCAATGAGAAGCTGCGACGCTAGAAGATAGATCAGACGAAGCTCGCTTTCCGCTGATTGCCAAGGAGTGGGTTGAAAGCCTCAACGAATGACCTCCGCCCAGAATGAGTACAAGAGGCAATGTACTGGAAAGTGCCGGCCTGCTCCGATGTTTGTTCAAATGACTTAGCAAGAGCTGTCGAATTTCTTTGGGCACGTGGCCGGCCCTGGCACATTCAGCGTGCACACAGCGGCAAAGGAGGAGACAAACGGTCCTAGACATGGCAGTGAACGATCCGTAACCACGCCTCACGTATCCCATGGTGTGCCTGTTTTTGCAGAAGCTGCACGCATTCCTAGATGGTAAAGCTATCTAGCTAGCAGATTCTCGGCATCGCACAGAGTAGGGGGCCGAAACAGCTTCTGAAGAGCCATCTGGCCTTGTGCTCCCAACAGAACCTCGATCGATATCACAGCAACTCACTTATCCACTGCCACGGCATGGTTCAACCTCAAAACGATCGGGAACCGGTCCGCACAATGAACATCAAGAAACGTGCTCAATATGTGCTTACATGTGCTTACCCCTGCTTCCGGACATGTAATATCTCTGATGCTGTCATGCTTGTCTGTCGATGTGCCTCTTGCTTCTTGTCCTCAGCCGTCATCTGGTCTGACAGCCTAGCTAAGCGCAAGGCGGCAACACTGAGACGGTCTCCACCGCCATCCGACTTTAGCCAAGCAACTCAGAAAACGTCTTCTGCCAGGACACCATGGCAATGTTCTTCTGTGCCTGGCCGGAACTGGGTGACAATCCCGCAAAAATCACCAGCTATGCTCATGTGGACCAGGCGGCCTCGCAATGCTTGACAAAATCTCCCACCTCGCGATTGACGTATGCATTCCACGAAAGCCAAACTGGCAGTGCAACTATCGCAATGTTTATCATCTCTATGCTCTTCCAGCCTGCGCTTCCGTCCTGCGGAACGCTCATGAAACATGCCAGCTGCGCAGTACAAGGCCCAATCTACAGCTCTGCCGTGTTAGTTGACAGAGCTCTGGAGTGCCCAGCCGATGGTCAAGCAGTGCAGGCCCTGCAGGCGGCATGCTGGCCTTCCTCTCTCTCTGGCTTGCCTTTGCTTCTGCTCCATCTCTTCTCCTGGGGTGGCTTGGGGGTTCGTGAAGGATGCTCGGCAGAGAGAACTCAGCTTGGATGCCGACGTCTTTTCATCGCACGATCCCTGCTTTCTTCCTGCTGTTTCTTGGCACGGATCCGCGCTTCCTGCGCATGGTCAGTGGTGGCCCTGTGCTGGCCAGAGAAGTGTTGATGTGACGACTCTTTTCTTGCAGCTCGAAGTGGGCGGGGCAGACAGCTAGTGTTTGCCCAGGTGTGCCTTCACCATCACCGGAGCTAGACTTCAAGTAAAGGACAGTCCCTGTGGGACTATCAAGCGATGTCTCGGTATGCCGAGGCAACTAATTATCCAATTGCTTCTTTCGCCTGTCCGGCTTGAGCTGCGGCGATTGATACATCTATTCAGCTCTGTTCCTCATCGCACTCGCCGCGCAACCGAGCACCCAAACTATTCAGGCTCTTTTACGACAATTCCTCAGTTATGACCATTCGCTGTACTCCGTCTCACCGCCATAAACCCAGCCATACTTTCGGTCTTTGACGAAGCGGCTCTTTTCCGTCAATGTCTTGGAAGAACCTGACGTACAACACAAGCGAGCAGCGCCTAAAACCTAGTTACTACAGCAAAGGAGATTTGAGACCTCGACGGCCTCAGCCCTCAGACCCGGCCAGAATCAAAGGTGAAGCTTGAAGAACACTTGAAAACAAAGAATAGCTATACATGCCACGGGGCAAACGATTTTGAATTCGACCCACTCGCCGTCAGCTGATAGGACTTCGAAGCCAGCAGGCTCCCTCAAATTGAAAGCATCGCTGTTGAGATTCATCATCTTGTCGAACCTTGCCACTAAAGGCTCGAGAATGTGCATTGTCCGCAGGTATGCAATATGCAAAACAAGCTTGTCTGCAAGAGACATTGTCTGCACGACGGTATGCTCCGGGACTCCGGAAGGCGTTGAAGATCGTATGGTTCATGTTGGCAACAACTTGTTCTGAGGTGACTGCCGGTGCTGTGGAGTATAGTGCTAGGGTACACCTGTGTTCTTGTCACCACCGTCCTAGTGCCACAAACCTTCCAGATCTACTCATCTCTGTACATGTCTTCGCTATTTACGTCGGGGGACAAGGTCTCGGCGGCATTGCTACGGCCTTGCTCAACCTTCCAAACAGTAATCCCATTTTGGTGGTCTCCACGCCCGAAACATCCCGGGACGGTCGACCTACTTGTTCATGCTGGCATAGCTGCGCTGCATGCAAATGATGGCAGCGGGGCATTCTAAAAGCTTTCGCGGAAAGCGATCGCCGAGCCAAGGAACATGCCCATCTCTTCCAAGCCCAGGAGTAGTGACCACTGCTTTGCACGGTCTCTGATTGACTGATTGTCATCCTTCTCGGTGGCGGCGAGGAACTGCGCGTCTTGAAAACGGAGAGCCGTGAAACGAGCCTCAAATGGACAGCACTGACCATTCGGCTTTCCGTGCGATTGCGAAACGTTCCCGAAAACCCACGGTAAAACAGTGCAAAAAGGGACAGAATGGAACTACAGTAGATTCTTGGTATCCAAAGGAACCCGCATGATGGCTTCAGGGCTTGCTGCCCTTAGCCCCACGAGAATATCCCTCACATCTCCCCACTTCTCTCCATGATCACTTTCCAGCTGCTCTTGGCTCAATGGACACTTGGCCCTGCGCTCCTCCAAATCGTCGCTAGATGCCCTCCGCTGCAGAGCCGGAGCCGCTTGGGAAGCCCGGACATTGGTGAACACGGCAGTTCCCCCGGCAGCTCTTCGTGACGGAAATAACCACAAAGCGACAAGCAAACACGTACAGGTACGTCCAGCGAGATGGCGATTCCACACTGCCATGGCCGCTCGAACTACGAGTATAGTACACAGTTCTGCTGTAGTCTATGGCGCGGCGGGGCTGAAGGCGTTGAGCTTTGAGCATCTTGCTCGGCGACAAGTGCTTTGGGGTGCAGATTTGCATGACAGACATTTGGCCCTCTGCAAAGAAGTAAGTCCCCAGTCCCAGCCTCTGCTCGCTCCTTGCCTCCCAGCGCTTTCATCTTCTCCGCTGGCATGTCTGCAGTTTGGGTACGGTACAAGGCGGGTTTACGCGCTAAGTGCTGCAAAGCGATTGAGGCTTTCAACAGCCTCCACATGCAGCATGGATCAGCAAGATAATCGTTGCGCCCGACCTGTCCAGTGTGATACAGGAACGCAAACCCCCCTCACAACAGATTCACAACAACGCGCTGAATACTTAGGGCCGGGCCAACTCACTCGCATCTTTCCACGGGCTGTGCACTTTGCGCTACGTGAGCTCGTTTGCGTGCTCTGATAAGTCACCGATAGATCCGCACCTCTTTTCCCTTACCAGAGTTGAAGACTTGGCTGGATGCATGACAATGCATGACATGAGGCTTGGGGGTGCTGCTCTCGGGCCAAGCGTGAACGAAAGCTCTTGCACTATGTACCCCTGCAGCAGACCAGAGGCAGCTTCTGGTGATGGCATTCATAATTGGATGATTTCAAGGTGTACGGATACCCCAAGCTTGATTCTACGAGGCAACATAGGTAACGTCAGGAGCGGCCTCCCGATGCATCCGCACCTCCTCCTGCACACGCACCTCCCACAGCCATGCTGTAAAGCAACCCTGGGAAATCATGCGTGGTGCACTACACCAGAACATCCTTAAGAGCTCTCTGCCATCGCACGATCCCGACAAGACCAGCCCGTACTGTGTGCACGACTTGCCTGTGAAATGCTGAATTCAGAATTCCGATCTCGCCTGAAATGTGGCACGAAACACGTGAGAGTCCACATCAGTTGCGGCGCCGGAACAAGCCGATGAAAGCAAACGGCCCAGCCACAGATGTTAAGAGACAGTGCACCCACCCAGACGCTGGGCTGCGATGTGTGTTTTGCTTGCTGGCTGTGCTTTTGGTGTGCGGACCTTGTCTTTGATGCGTTCTCCCTCAGACCAACTGTGGCACAAAAACGCCCAAGCTCGTCGAGTAGAAATGATGGTTCGCGTTGGAGCTTCGCCAAGAATATATCGTCAGCGAGATGCAGGTCAAGTAGCGATTGGAACCGTCTGGGGACAGGACGGAAACACCTGCAAAAGCCTGCAGCAGTCTTCCGGTTTTAAAGGGGCCGTAGATTTATCCAGGTGCTTCAAGTGATTTCAGTGGAAAGAGTGCGAATCGACATCGGCTGCGCTTGGGACATAGGATCTCTACTCTGCAGCACTGGGCGGTGGGAGGGTGGGGGGCTTCGGGGGCGGGCTGGGCCGGGCTGGGTGGGGTTCGGCAAAGGCTGGGTTTGGAGTTGGTGGCTGTGTTGGGAAATGTGTCTGGCTGTCCCCCAACGATCAAACTCCAGCACCCGAAAAGTGTTGTGCCGTTCTGGGGGGTCTAGTGATAGGAAAGCCAGTACCCAACTGTTATAGGGAGGCCGTTGTATTCAAATTTGCACAGCCTTTGGACGCCAAGCCCATGCAAATCAAGCAGAAGAAGTTATTCCAGCCCGGGCATGCAAAGGTCGCTCGAAGCCTAGACATGCAGCATAATGCTGAATAGCTCGTGAAGCCAAGACATGCAGCATAATGCTGCATAGCTCATGAGGCATCTGATCGGATGCAAAGGAAGACGAGAAACACAAGTAAGAGTCCAACAACATGCAAAGCCATGTTTTCCATACAATAGTAGCATCAAGAGCCACACTTCAGGATTCACTTCCGCTAAGTGTACTGGGTGCCTGCATGCCTGTACAGGGCGCCTCCTCTCGACGGATGTCTTCTTCTTCCTGCTGCATGTGCTCCACAAAGGCCTTTCAGGCTTTAGGCTTGGTGCTGCAAGCAATGCACGATTTCAGAAAACCCGCTCCTCGTGTTCCCGCTCTAGTTCTTCGAGACCTGCATTCAAAAAATGCCCCGAAGCCTGTATTTGTGCCGCTGTCAGCATCGACGCGTATTGCCGCTGCAGTCTTAAGGCTGAGGCATGCCATCCGCTCCTCTTCGATGCACTGAAGAGCCTTGCCAAAAGCGTAGCGCGGGCACGGCACTGTGGCAGGTGCGACATCATGCCCCAATCATAGACCACGTTGCCCTACTGTAACTGCCTCGGCAGCATCGGGCATAGCCAGACTGCTGTCGGCTGGAGGCGCAGCAGGCATGATCTCCCGATGGGCACTGCCTGACAGGACCAGCACCGGGTTGGTCGCGAAGTTCCACGGGCTGTGCCTGTGCTTTGGCCTGCATGATCTGAATCCAGAGCCAGGGTGGGTGCCTATCTCCGCGATGAGTAAGTCATGCAGAAAGTTGAACGTGGTCGCTAGAAGGCCGACAGCGGATCAGCTTCGCCTCGGCGCTCCTCTCAACCGGATCGTTTTGCGCCTGGGAGACATTCCGTCTCTTGCGTATAGGGCCTGCCACCGCTCTTCAAGGCTGGGGCGTTCTGGACCTGCTGTTCGCCATCGCGGCCTGGGTCTCAAGAGCAAAGACTCAGAAGCACCCTCCCAATTGGCGAACTAGTTCTGGCTGAGCAGTTTGTCCCGTTCCTCTTGCAGGGCTGCCCGTGCCTGGCAGAATAGCCAGAGGACTCTCTCTACGCGGACAAGGCCCGGAACATGGCCTCTGCTGCCATTCGGGACAAGAACGAATTGACTTCTTCGAGGCTGCCAGGGGCCGGCTCCAAGGGCACCTCACCAGCTGAGGCCTCCTCCAGATACCAAGCGTTTGACAGGCGATTTCCCAACCGACTGGGCTGGTGGTGGTGGCACTCGCAAAGGATTGCACAACGCAGAAGCCCGCAAACTCTCTCTCGCTGCGTCGGTCCCTCGGTCCCTCTTTCTTTCTTTCGCCAGGGCTAGGGGTGTCTCTCTCTCTCTCTCTCTTCTTCCACACAGTCAAGAGCACGGCAAAGCACCGCACTCTGCGCGTGAGCGCGCACTGTCTGTTTGGTCTCAGTAAGACTGCTACACCTGATGAGAGCACCGGGCTCCGAGCAGAGAACCCCCTACCTAGGAAACTATAACCCCTCGGCCTCATCAGGCTCACACCGGTTCCGTTCCCCCGTTCGCAGCATATTCTTTATGCACAGCTCTTGGGGTTCTGGGCGGCTCCAGTATACACTCTCTCTCTCTCTCTCTCTCCCTCTCTGACTTTTTGATTCAAGCCTTCTGCGCAACCAAAACATCGCACTAGGTGCTTGGTCAAACTGAAGGTGAAACATTTTTCGAATCCACGTCGTTGCAACCTATTTCCTCAACTGAAATGCTGTTGTCCGCTACATAATATACCTGCGTGCTCATTGTATACCGGAACATCGAACTGAGGAGGCCCGGGGCCCATCCGATCGTGCAGGCGTCAGTCGTCCTGGGTCCACCATCACGGCATGCCAGTGGCGAGCCACTTCCACAGGAGCGACACTGTGGGTAAGCCCACGGCATGCTCCGCAACGAGAAGCATCGTTGAAGGACAAAGTCCAGCTTCCCTGATGATACGCTTGCCGTCCAAGCTCGTTGCTGTGTCTGCAGATGGTCTTGTACGTTGTGCCTGAGCGTCTGCGATTCCTTCCCCTGCAGGTTCGTTACCGGGAAAGAAGTCCTTGCAAGCGGCCGGCATCGGCTTCGGACAGAATACATTCTTTTTTCATACAGAAATCCTGAGATCAAACGGCCGGCCCAAGGCTGGACCGTCCCAGTCTGCCACTGCAGCAAACTCGAACAAGGCGGAAACCTTCAAGTCTGCCGAACGCAGACAGTCGCGCCATAAGCGCAGCATGTCGCAGCACTTTGCCTGTGTGTCTTCAGCAAAAGTACGCTGGATCGTAGCTCCACTGGCTGCGCGAAATCGCACGGTCGCCTTGGATCAGGGCGGAGACTCGGAAGAGACGTCGGGCACTTTGTCTTGGCGAGCGGCCTGTGGCTTCCCGGCCTGAAGCACAGAGGCGGCGACAAAGGCTTCGAAGGCTTCTAAGGGCCCAGCATCTTTAAAAAAACTCCAACAGAGAGCGGACTTCCAAGCGCCGCACTTCCGGCAGCGGGTGCTGCCTGTCGAATGTCTCTCGCCGAAGCCTTTGTTCCTCCACAAGAGCGGCCGCCTCTCGTCAGGCAAGCAGGAATACTAGCAGGAATTTCGATTGGGTCTCTGCGCAGCAATCTCGCAACCTCTTCCTCAGCAGCTTTTTGCTGTCTGGCCTGCTCTTTTCGCACTCATCGCCGCCAACTGACTGAAGGAGTGCCGTGGCCTCTTCCTCTGCCACAAGTCTCTCTTTTTCGGCCTGCCATTGTGCGGTGTGGATTCACTTGCATTTTTCGGGTCGCTTACATATCCTTGCGCATCAACATATCTATCTGATTTACAGTATTGAAATGTTTCAAGTTTGAGGGTTACGGGAAATTAGAGCTCCGGGGTCCAAGCCTCAAGGTTAGTAAAGGTGAGGGAGTACGGCTTTGCGGGTTCAGAACATCAGGGATTTTTCAAGTCGCCGGTTTAAGGGGGGCGCAGGTTTAACACAGTTTCAAGGTTTTGGGCGGTGTTGTGTTTCTGGGGGTGGACAAAAGTACCGAAAGGCGCTTGCAGGCGTGCAAAGTCGAAACCGATTCGTTTTTTTTGCTTCTCGTCCGTTGATGTGCTACGGTTTAGGCGGCCTTCTCGGCTTGCGCTATTCGACGAAGCTCATCCTGTCGCAAGCTTTCCTCGCGAGGTAGCGGCTGGAAGCTTGGAAAACTCGACCGCCGGTGAACCAGTGGCCTCATATTCTGCATCCTGCGATGCAATTATCTGACGGTCTTCTTCCCTGCGGATGGCGGCCTGCAATGCAACGTCGGAAACTCTTGGCTTTTATGGCTGTACCCACAGTTCCAGTTGCAGCGCGCAGCATAAGCTGTGAACGGATGAACAACTGGCCTCCACTGCTGCGACCTTCGCGAGGGAAGCTGCGCCGGTACGTAATGGCAAAAAACAACACCAAAACGACGGTACTGCAAGAGGAACGTGAGGCCGAAGCTGTCGCCAGCTCCTCTGTGGACCCTGCTCTTGCCTTGCGTCGGTTCGGGAAAACTATAGAAACTTGTATAAATGCTTCACCGAAGAATCCTTGGGCACAAACCGCGCTGGCCACAAACCTGGACGGAACAACGAATCAGCACTGCCGGAGCGCTGCCGGAGAATCGGCGAAGTTTTCTCTCGGCCGAAGGCTCCCCCAAAGGTTCGCAGAGGTCCAAAACGTTTCCGATCTTAGGAGCCAAGATCTTCCCAGATCTCAGCATTTCCCCATCGTATGCAAACCAAGCTCCGAGCTGCTGAGTATTTTCCGTTCAGAATGGTGCACAGCTCTTCGAAAAAACTCGTCAAAAGACTCTGCCGTTCCTGACGCAAGCTTGTCGTGGCTTTGCAACTGGCAATTTTTAAGCTGAACATGCAAACGCAGTGCGGCCTGCAAAAAGGTCGCATCAAAACGGCCAGCCCAAGTGGACCGAATCGTGACCTGTACTGTCTTGATCGACAGCTCGCGCGGCAAACATGCACCCACTGGCCTTTGGCGGAAGACGGGGCAGCGTCACATCCTCAGAAGCGAGTGGCCCGCGATCGAAGCTTCTGAGGCATGGCTCTAACCCGGCGGCTCGAAGCTCGCTCATCTGCCCAAGCTGGCCAAGCAGCCGGTCCACCTGCAATAGTGCGAGCCGACCTTACGTCAGTCTGAGTTGTCTCGTGCCTGGGAGAAGCGAAAGACCAGACTTTGAGGTGGTGCTCCATTGGTGCTTGACCTCGGCCGCATCTTTGGGCAAGAAAAACTGCAGCGGTGGCGGTTTTCAGCAAAAACAGCTCTGCGTGCCGCCAGATCGAAAACGAAAAACTGTGGAGTAAGCCTGCTTGCTTCGATCCCAAGCTTTAAGCGGCTGCTGTAAGTGCAGGTCTGTGCTCGGAACTCAACATGTTGACGGGCCCCTTGGCCTGCCTGCACAGAAACAACTTCGGCACTTCGTTCGGCATGCAAAAGCCCAATCGCCCACTCCAAATGGCAACTCTGGGGGCAGGAAATGAGTGTCCGGCAACGAAGTGTTCAGTGACGACACAATGCCACCTCGGGGCTCTGCGTTCTGCACAAGCTGATCTTCAGTGTCATTCACTGCACATGCAAGAAGCACAGGTGCCAACCCTGTCGCATCGGTCATGGCTGGATGACAAGGCTGCGGAAGGAAATGCCCTTATCCAGTATGAGTGTGTCTAGAAGGCTGTCAGTCCATAGGTGGACAATGCAGCTTGAGGTGCGGCCAATACCCTCAACAGCATCTGTGCCCAAGAGCCACAACGTCAGCAGTCAGCAAGTCTCGAGACTTGTGCATGAGAATCTTGCTTCCAGCCGATTTTCGTGCACACAAGGCTGGCCTCGTGCTCTCCCAAATCGAGGATTGGTACAGACTCGTGTGGAGTCGATACCTCCTGAGTTGTGACCCTGCCTGCTGTGTTCACTGCTTCTGAAATGAGGCTCCGGCAAAGAACATATCTGGAGGCACAGGCCGTTCCTGGCGCTTGCGCGCTGTCACAGCGAATCGAATGTTTGGGGGATTGTTCAATCGACTGTCCTGAAGTTGCTGCTCCACCTTTTCGGCTTCCAAAGCACTTTCCCACATGTTCTGCTGCATGTTCTCCTCCTCGGAACGGTGAATACTGCATTTCAACTTCGCCTCATCTCGCCTCGCACCAGCCAGATTTGCTGAATCCGAGGTTTAGGATGCTTCGCCGGACGAGAACATCTGGGCAAACGCCGGCAACCGATTGCATCGCCACTCTCTCCACACTGTTCTGGAAACACGAAATTTAAATTCAACGCTGCACGAACATCTTCAATCGTAACATGAGGGGCCGAACAAGTTGGCTAAGGCAGCTGCCATGGCTGAACCCCACCTTGAAGCAAATGCAATGAGTAAATTGCCAGTCTCCTGCACATCTCTAGTGTATCTGAGCCCTGGACGCGCCGAGTTGAGCAAGCAACCTGAAAGAAACAGATCGGGTCAGCCAGCTTGTTTGCTGATGATCTGAAAGACTAACCCGCGTCATTCTGACTATGGCACTGGCTCCTCCAGTGGCATCCCGCTGGCGACATCATTGCCTGGTGTTAGACCGAGGAAACAACCTTCACACACCGAATGAAAGCAAGTCAGGCTCAGCACATCGCCGCCGTTGTCTTCGGCCAGCGCGTTCTCTTCCAATCTTGGGGTAACGGTGCCCTGTACATACATCAAGCAGCAATCGAATCTCCATCTGCATTCTGACCAGGCCATACTTGTAGTTGCTGCCGCCTCGGACCAGTCAGGGTCATCACCTTCTCCCTCGCCTGCCGAACTCATATCCTGAGTCGCCTCAGCGACATAAACGTTGCTGACACGCGGCACTTCCCACGAGCCCGTCCGCAAGCTGAGGGGACGACGTCATTACATACAGGCTATTGCGCTGACTGGGCCAGCGTTCATCGCATGCATAAATTCATGTCAGCCACCCTGTTCGTTACGTCATGATTGGTCTACTATTGGTCTTGTGTCCGGTCTCACCCCGGTGCCCAAAACTCTTTATGTGCCCATGAGAAATGATATGAAATTCACTCGTCCACCTCCTTGAACCAGTGCCTGTTCAATGAGCCACCTATTTGTGCTCTGAATTCGAGAATATGGTTACAGTTTTTCACCTGCGCCGCTCGAAACAAGAACCCATTATCAGAAGACTGAACGATTTTTCCCCACGGAAGCGTTTAAGTACGGACGTCCGAAACAGCGGGCCCTGTGCACAAGCCTTAGGCCAAGATTTGAGGCGACCGTCTACAGGACGGCCAACGGTCGAGGCACAGTGCGCTCACACCATGCGGCTGGCGAGCCGAGGCTGCGAAGGTGAGTCGACAAAGATGTCACCCAGGCGGACAGGTGGCGCCAGGGCACATCCAGCGAGGCAGGCGCGTGGAGAGATGCAGCCCCACCACAGGCACATAACCGAACGTAGTAGGTTTGGGATTGCGTCCGTGATACGTGGCATGGCCAGCGGTGCTGCCTTTCCGCGTGAGTGCGACAAAATGCGACAAACGTGGTGTCGCAGCTCTGCGCTGCTCAGTCGAGCGCGGCTGCGCTATCACTGGTGCAGCACGCCGCGAGCGACATCAAACCAACCCCAAGCCCCGAGCTCGGCTGCGCCCGGCGATGCCACATCGTCGTTGTCGGCATTTCGGCACTGAGACAGTGCACCTCCTGCGCCTGCTTGCACGACACTGGGCCGACGCTGTCCCGCCCCTTCCAGATTTCGTGCTGGTCCGGACTCGTGGCCGTCGCATCCGACCCTATCACTATCGCTCGAGGCGCTTGAGAACCGGGCAAACATTCATTTTCATTCGGACGCTCGCGGGTGGTCCCGCACCTTGGAGGGCATCGGGCTATAGTGCTTGAATGGCCAGCTGCGGCCAGCTATGGAGCAAGTGTTGCAAGCTAGAAACCAAACGGACCAAGCTGGGCCCAAGAACGACGCAAGCTAAGCTAGCAGCTGAAAACGGCCCATGGCTGGCCATCGCAGATGTTTGCCAAAAGCTTAGCTAGACTTGCTTCACACGGCGGTCCGTAGCCTCAAACCTTGCGCAAAACTGCCCCCCGTCCGTGCCGGCCCGAGGAAGCCGCCCTCTGTTCACAAAACAGAGCTGTAAGCGTATCACTCACGGAACGTGTGGGCTTTGCTCAGTTCCATGCTTTCCCGTGAGCAAGGACAACCTAAACAAAACCGCTCCAAAATACAAAAGCGGATTCATACATGTTAACCCTAGGCATGCATGATAGCGCAGCAGACCGCCAGTCAGAGACCTAATCCAAAGAGTTACAAGCGACTTGCCTTGTCCGGGTTTTTCACCCGCCTGGGGTCTTGCACCTGGCGTCTGCCAAATTAGGAGGCTACCTCACCGAGTGTAAACATGAAATAGCTCTGTGCCATCCGTTTTTTTGCGCATGAAATACAAGCAGATCAGACTTTCCAGCCGCGCGGAAGAGGGGAACCCTCACGCGTAGGAGCAGTAACGAGACGCTTGGCAAGTATTGTCTCCCCTCGGATTTCGGACCGGGCCAGCTCCAGGATAATCACCAGTGGTGAAATGAACGCTCAACCGGAGTCTACGCCTTTCGTCCTCGGAAGCTGAAGTCGGATGGCTCACAGACCATACGGGAATTTGTTTGTTCCAAGTTATCACCTTGGGATGATCGCATATGCTTGCCAAAATCTGCTTTTTCCTGAGACCAGGGAAGGCCAGCATTTACAGTGATCCCACCTTTTTTGGGTCCAGCAGCGAACTTCGAAGTCCAACCACACTGACGGTACTTGTGCGCAGGGGCGTTGTTCTGGGGGGGGTGGGGGCGATCTCCTTCCAGTGCAAACTGGTCATAGTATTGGTCCTCGGAAGCTGTGGAACACTGGCACTCTCAAGTGCGTCATATATTTATACCATTTACTTTTATTGACGACGAGCTTTTTACTCAGGCACGATCTTTTTCCAAGACGATGGCGAGCGAGAAGACCAACAATCAGTGCAGGGGTCTTTGCCACTGTACTGCCAAACTGCCACTGTAAGCCATCCAGGCCTTGTTGGATCCACATGTTACAAGCTGGAATGGGAAGACCATGCATTAAAAAACTGTTCCGTTCGTCGGGTGTTTTGTTTTGTCTGCAAGGCCCAGCAGTCTCGTATGTCAGGTACGGCCGGACATGCTGTGTACTTACCAAAGCTGGTCAACTTTGCCTAATACTCCCGTTCGTCGGGCCACGAAATTCTGAGGCCTAGACGTCCCGCTCGTCGGGTGAAGCCATGCCATAGCGCTGTTGCGTTTGTTTCCGTGAAGCAGAGCATAGCCCTCTAGGCCAAGTCCCAGACCCCAGGCCGAGAAGATTTTTGGTTTTTTTTGCTCAGCTCTTACATGGATACGTTTTTGAGAATGTCTACAGATGCCCTCCGCTGATGCAGTCCCACCATGCCCAGAAACCCGAAAAGCTCATGAGCCCTGGCTGCGAGGAAAAGCCTGAGCTTGTCCACGGCGACATGCACGCAGCTCGACAACACTGGCGGCTGGCGGCGTGCTGCGTCCCAGGCTGCCTACTATGGCGAGAGCAGGATGCCCCCGCCGCCCGGCCAACCTCGCCTTCTGGACTCTCCGCGGTGCCCTCCTTTCGCATCAGGCTTCCCGCGTCCGGTGCACCTGCCCAGACAGGCACTGGTGCGTGCTGGTGTTACATGCCCCTCACTGCAGCAGGGGCGCACAGCTGGGGCAGCTGTGCTCTGACGGCCTTTCGTGCTGCTACTGCTACAGTACTGCTACGGCCTTAGTTTTGAAAGTTGCAGTGCGTTGCAAGCTCTGAGATTGCTCGTAGGTATTATGAAACATTCAATGTGTGATTTCCGTGCGAGTTTTCTCTGAGCACTCTGTGAGCGGTACCTGTGATCAAGGGGCAGGTCTGTCAGAATTCTGTGGGCGGCACCTGTGAGTGGGCCGACGTCTGTGAGCGACCTTGTGAGAATTCTGTGAGCGACCGGTCGTGCTCTTGGTCGTAATCGGCTCCATGGAGCAAGAGCAAGAGCAAGAACCGCAGTAGCTCAATTACGCGTATTAGTGGTCGTCGGAGTAGAGGCAGTACAATAAAGGTTATGAGCGGCAAGTCTTGGAACCTATGAAAAAGGAAAATATATTTCAATTCTATAAGTTAGCTGAGAAAAGCAGTGACAGAGGTATGTGTGTGTTTGGTGAGAGAGATTTCGGGGCTGTGAGATTGATGTGAGCGGTGGGTGCGATTTTTGCTTTGGTGTGGAATGATCTGAACGGAGTTTGTGGAGCTATGAGTCTGAGCGGCCGTGTGAGTTTGGTGTGGGTTTTGTGTAGGTTTTTTTCTGTGCGAGTTCACTGTGTGAATGCGGGCGCTCCCCCAGGCCCCGCTCACACCCCCGGCCCCGCTCTCAGCCCCGCTCACATTTTTTTCCCACGGACTTTTCCGCCTGCAAGAAAGTGTCACTGCTACTACGCTGGTTTTACTACTGCGCCAGCGCGCGGCCCCAGTTTGGGGCCGCAGAGGCAAGCGGTTGGGCCTATCATTGCAGGCAAGGCCGAGCACGCGGTCCAGTGCAGGGCCGTCGCTCGGCCCAAGCAGTGGAGCAACCGGCCACGCGCGGCCCAAGGTTGTGCCCGCAACGGCGAGCTGGACCGCAACGGAAGAGGCTCCCCACCAACGCCTTTTTTTTTTTTACACTTTGCCCAGCCAGAGGACGGCGCGGTGGTGCGCACTGCTGGCGGCGCGCGACGCGCCCGGAGCCGGACTAGGTCCTGCGTAGCAGTGTTCCAGCGGGCCTCCTGTCTCGGAGCCCAAGACCAAAAGCTTCTGCGACGGGCCGCTCGCGAGTTCAGGATACATGCCGTGCAGTGCGTCGCTCCGCGACCTTCAGCGCGGCGCCATCGACCTCCACGATCCATGGATGCGGGCGATCCGTTTATGGAAGGGGGGACACCCGTGTTGCATAGTTCATAGGACACAATTCTCACAAGCCACAGGCCAGGGCCCGATTTTAGTGTAAAACAGACGGATTTGGTGGCTTTGGGCCTGCGAGAGCGGGGCCCAGCGTGTGAGCGGGGCTGTGCGAAGTGTGTGTGAGTGGGGCTGAGGGAGCGTGGCCGCCCCCTGTCGCGCAATTTTCACACGCCCCTGCTTACACAGGCCAGGGCTCGATTCCAGTGTAAAACACAAGGATTTTGTGGCCTTCCTGTGGGCAGGGGTGTGAGAACTGTGTGAGTGGGGCCTGCGAGCAGGGCCCGGAGCTGTGAGACTTATGTGAGCGGGGCTGACAACATGCGCTCACAGAACTATGGTCACGACCACGATTACCTCAACTCATCTACTAGCTACTTACTACTACTACTA